TGCTACGTCCGCAAGGGAAATAATGTCGGCACAGATCGCGCCGCCGGAGCATGTCTGCTACGTGCACTGCAACTTCTGCAACACAATTCTCGCGGTAATCTCTCCTTCCCTCCCTCTCTTTCATGCGCAGATCTACAAGCAGGAGAGACGCGTGGGATTAACTGTGTGCGATCTAGCGAGTTTCTTGCTGGATTCTGTCCTTTTTCAAAGATTTGTTGGAAAAGGCTTCAACGAGAGATTTATGATTTGTTCCTCTTTTCTTTCGCCGCACCGGCCGGGGGGCTGCTTTTGTTCTGCTCGCCGCCCGCAGCTCAAGAGTTTTTCTTGCTTTCCCTACTTTCTGTTTGTTAATTCGTTAGGATTTTGAAAATAGAGCGCCAAGGCCAGCACATAATCGTCAGAACAGATCGAACTGCTTCTCTTCTTGCAATCTTCTCATCGAATCTGTGGACATATGCACATACGCATGACTCTCTTGAGTCGAGTTAGTCCACCCTGTATATATATGTGTGTGTGTGATTTGATATGGCTGTGTTAATCCTGAATCTGCGTTAATTAGGGCATCATCCAATTGTTGTTTCTTAATTTTCTCCGACACGTATCCCTCATGGCCTCTTCTTTTTACTGGGAAGATTAGTTTTCTTTTTTGTGATGGATACTGGGAAGATTAGTCAACACATGGCCGGCTAGCTTTCATTGTCTCTCGAGCTTGTGGATTTCTTGCTAGCTTTCATGATCTATTGTGCTGATGTGTGCAACTGTGCATATTAGTTGTTTTCTTTTCCAAGAAGAAGCACTACATGGCTTATGGAGCACCATCACTTCTAATGTCATCTAATGGTTTTGATTCTAACTAACTATTTAAAGCAATTTATGGATTTTGCGCGTATACTTTTCTTCTACATGAATTTCCAACACGGAGCATGCAATAACAACGTAGTTTTGGTGTATTATTAACTGATGTATCTGTTATTTTAAATTCGCTCAACCAGCCCATGTGCCCCCCCTCACCTTAAACACAAAGCACAAAAATGACCAGCGAAATTATATATTTGGGTCAATATAATTTGTAAAAGCTGGCAAGTTTAATTAGTTAATGATCTCAGTAGCACTGCAATGTTGGCGTAATGTTGCTGGGATCAAGTTATTGATCTCAGTCTAATCAGTTGTTTGGGTATTTTTTATTCATCTGAATCAAGTCACGTTTTCCCCTGGGAGTATTATTACTTTACGCTAGCTAGAATTAATGCCATCGCAACATCCAGACACCTTATATTCACTTATTTATTGGAATAGAACAGTAGCATACTGTGCTAGCTAGTGAGTTGCCAGTTGCCACCAAGAAATTCCAAGCAAGGGATGCTTCCTGTCCTCATACTTATTTTCCTCTTCTCCATGCTCCTGTGCAGCAGTGTGCAGCTGTGCTTTGTCTCGGTTGATTTCCTTGCTTTTTCTTCTGTCATGTTTACAAAGTGCTGTGTTCCTTGGTTTTGTGGAAGAGTTGATCAGATGTCGAAATGGAAGTACAAGTAAATAAAAGCGAAACTAAATTGGAAAATTGATGGTTATAAATCTGAGCTTGATTCGAAGGACATATTAGAAGACCTGCCTCTCTCACTCTCCATGTCCTTTTGTTTTGGTGTTTGCACCTTGCAGTGATGCATGAAACTTGTCAAAATTTACTGCAACTAGTACTCTACTGACAGAGGAGCTTGCGACCTCAGATTTCCCTCCTCCCTTATTTTGGGATTTAGTTTGTCCTTGCTATCGATCATTAGTGTGTTTGTACCTATTCCAGTCAGCTTCTGCATAGGCGACAAGTGCTATCAATATCTCTTCAGTGTGTGGTTCGTCCATATGTGCAGATGCTTGGTACAAGTACCACCAATAAGAACTTCGACCTTGAAGTAATGCCGTCTTATTGGTCTCTTCTAAAAAGGAGATCCGGTCAGCTGATAGATCTCCCACCCACCAAATCTGAATGTTAAATTGATCATTTTATGTTCATCCTGAATTAATTCCACAAGATGTTGTCTTCGATCATCGTCTCACTCTCTCCCCTCCCCATGAGAGCTAGCTCAAAAGGAGAGATGGATCTAGCTTGTTGACAGACACTCACACACCTGCATGCCCCACTACGATGTACCATGCACAGTGTATGCTTGAGCGTGAGCTAAGGCTAGCTAGCGCGCGTGAAGTGCCTTCTGCATGAACCGTCGCTGTCATCTTCCTCTCTTTCCTACAGTACAGTGTTTCTTGGTGTGATCTTTAATCCTTTTTGCACTGAAGTGAGCATGGAGCAGAAATGATGGTACTAGAAGAGCATGCATGCATGTGTGGCAATTTTAACTCATTATCAGATTATTTTTTCTAAGAAAACGCCCTCAGGATGTATACTATTTGTGCTTCTCTACAATAATGGGGGATTGGGGGGGGGGGGAGCATGAGATGGGGTGTGAATTGCAAGTGCACACATTTTTCTTGAAAAAAGCACCTCAAGGTATGGAGTGTGATTTGAGCCAACTCCCTTCATGCGAGCAACAGCAAACACAATCATTTGCAGATGCATTTGGCTCACTTGGTTATACTAGTCATTCTTATGGGAGTGTGTGCCCCCAGAAAAGAAGGCTGTGAGGAATCAAACAAAGCGAGTATAGCTAGGACATGGTCCTTCTTCAGGTTGTGGTTTGGTTGCAGGCCAGGGCACTCAACAAGGAAATCTGAAAAGAAAATGGAAAGGGCAAGGTGGCAACCAATTGGCAGGCATTGGAAAAGGATGCCCCAGTTCTGATTTGGTCCAGCTGCTTGCAGGTTGCAGAGCCCTGATAAAAGTCATGGAGAGCGACTGTTTTACAGCAGGCAGGAGTTAATTAAAGAGGGAGAGAGAGAGAGAAATCTTAGCCAGGTTCAGAGGGCAAAAAGCTATGGCTGTGTGCATATCAACATATATTAGTGTGTAGATCTGCATCAGCCTTTTGAAAATGTTTATTTGGAATTTAGCATTTGTTACTTCATCCACACAGAGAGCTGGTCATTTTGTTCTTATGTTTCTTCCTTTTTGTTTGTCTTGTTTTGCTGTTTGGTTTCAACTAGTAATTTTCTTCAGCTGCCCATATTCTTTACAGCTTTAATTAATTCAGGAAACCCAACAATTGTGTCCCCTTACGTATGATCAATCTGCAGGTCAGTGTTCCAAGTAATAGCATGCTGAACATCGTCACCGTCCGTTGCGGGCACTGCACTAGCCTGCTGTCGGTGAACTTGAGGGGATTGATCCAGTCGCCACCTGTGCAAGATCATTCCCAGGTTGACATGAATAGTACTTCCTCCGTCCCAAAATTCTTGACTTAAATTTATCTAGATACAAATGTATCTAATACTAAGATGTGACTAGATACATCCATATGTACACACATTTAAGACAAGAATTTTGGGACGGAGGGAGTACTAATAATTCATGAAATTTGCGCGTGCTTTTCAAAGCTGTCGTAACGGTTGGTGTCGTTAATTAGCTCACCCTTATACATAAAATGGTATACATTTCACATGTTACCGTGTAATTAGTTACTACTGCATTACTTGTATCTGTGTTACCATAGGGGGTAGAAAGAATGGTAAGGACTCCTACTGGAAGGGAGAGGCCTGTAGTAGATGCCAAACGAAACTGGTAGCATGGCTTACCCTAACTGTTACTCTAGCTTTGTAGGAGAGAAAAGCCAGCGTGCATGCATGGGTCATGTCATGCTTCAACACTTTATACAGTAAAGACAAACTACAGCATGCACACTGTTTGCTCACAGGAAAGAGTATTAAAGCTCACATGGAAAAATGGCACGTCTTTAGTGTCGTCCATGCACCATGGTTCGTCGTTCTAGTTTTACTGATTTTGAGCAAAAGTCTTGCACAGTTTGTACTATTAACATATGTTACTTTGTATTATATGGTGTGCTATACTGAAAGTTAAATATACTATGAATCCATTTTTACAACAAAAGAAATGATGCTTTAGCCTAATGTTCTTCAGGGCTTCCTCTCCATAATGATGCTTCAACCTAATGAATTAACTTAATTACTTGACTTGGTGACAGGAGAATTTCAAGGCCCACAATATCAGCTTTCGTGGAAATTACCCGGACTATGGCACATCTTCTAAATACCGGATGCCAATGATGTTCTCAACAAAAAGTGACCAAGAGCATATGCTCCACATGAGACGTAAGACCAATGCATATATATGTTCTATTTGTACGTTTTAGTTTGTGAACCAAAATTTTGTTTTTTTCCCTCTTGACCAACATAAATAGATAAATTACTATCGTCTGATTACACCATGATGGACTCTCAAGCTAACTTGTGAAACCAGTGCAAAAATATACGTTCTTTGACTGGTTTTAGTGTGTGTGTTTGCCAGATGGATATAATGGTTTCATTGATCATGTGTCGGCAGTTGATCTCAAGAAGAGCATCGAAAAGTGAAGATTGTCGCCGCTAGTTAGACCGAATGTGAGAGACAGAGCTGGTGATATATTGGCTTAAATTGTTATGGTAAACTAACCCACTGTTAGCAATAATCTTGTCTAGCAGGTTAATTGGTTGGTTTTAGTTTGGACTATGCTAGTATTGGGGCAACACGTATGTAGTACATGCCTTGGTCCTGTACGAGGTATAGTCCGTGTAGGACTAACGTATTGTGTTAGGCTGTGTCCGTGTTGGGATTAGCTAGCGTGTTGTGTAGGACTAGTTCCGTACGTGTCCTAGACAGTGCAATAGTATTCAAGGTAACCGGTGATTAGAGAGTCCGGTTAGGAATTGTATCCTGGTTGTGTCCGAGTAGGTTTAGTAGTTTGGGTCTTATTAGGAAATAGCTTACGGTGGTGCTGGCTGTGTGTGTATATATACGCATCAACCGGCTATGCTTTGTTCTATCAAGTTGCAACACCGTTGTGGAAAACTGAAAAGAAAATAAAGAAGGAAAAGTAAGGCACGTGCCTTTGGCAAAAAAAAAAAAAAATCGTGCGCGTGTTCGTCGTGATTTGATGTGATAGATCCTAAGGGCAAGTTCCAACACCCACATTGTCCTGCAGTGTGGCAAAAACCGACTCCAAAACTAAAATATGGTTCCTTCTCCAATTTTAGGAAGTTGGAGACATTACACATTTACGATGAGATATGCGCGCCTTTATGTTCTACAATGATACTAATTCAGCTACAGAGAAAATAAAAACTTAATGCAAGGTAGGTTGGTGTTGGTTAACTACTACTATATGGAAACAAAACAGGAACACGTACCTCACGTGAAAACTACAATATGTGTAGTATATTGTATTTTTGTTGTTGCGAAAACTATAATATTGTATTGAAACATCTCACGTGCTTGGTATTTATTTAATTTAGAAACAAAACAGGAATACGGCTCTATGGAAAAGGAATGGAGAAATGAAATTTAAATATCCCATACAGCATTACTTAATTTATTTAAGAAACTTAGCATATATACCTCTTATAGGAGTTCATAGCTTTGTCGTTCAGGACCAAATAGTAACATTGTGCCGCAGAATGTAACTATTCATGAAAATAAATAACTTCGTATTTGCATAATATTCAGTGATGGATTTGAGAGTAATATACATGTCAAGTGTTAGCTCCTGATTAAGTTTATATTGGTGAACCTTTACACACAGCAGCTCCTGAGAAGAGGCAGCGGGTACCTTCAGCGTATAACCGATTTATTAAGTAAGCTTTAATCAATCAATTCCAAACTTGCACTGACAGCAATTAAGCTGCGCTGTGTTGTACTAATAATACGATTTTGACACATCAATTGCAGGGAGGAGATACGAAGGATAAAAACAAACAATCCTGACATAAGCCACAGAGAAGCCTTCAGCACCGCAGCAAAGAATGTTAGTACATTTTTTGCATAATGCATAGGCTATTATTGTACTACTCACTGTTTCACATGTGCATGTCACAATACTTCACAGTTGATCATTATGCATATTGATCCTATAGCATGAGTTTCAATGTATGTCTTGTGTAGAGAAATGTTCTAGTTGTTGGGCGGTACCATGCTACCATTGCACGGAGCATCCCTAAAACGTTATGATTTTAAAAATTGTGATATGTGTCTATAATCCTACAGAATTTCAAATCCATATTTGATCTACGTACACATAGAGTAACAGTGAGCATAAACCAGCTATAAAAAGTTTTTAGGGGTGCTAAGATTGACCACAGAATTTTTACCCAAAGTGTTAGTGGCATTAGGATCCTTCTGGTATAAGAGTTACAACTTACAACTTACAACTGATCAAAGAGAAAACATATTAATTGCTAGATTACATAGTGCTCTACCATTTGCTTTTGCCATATCATACACTACAGCATATAACTGCGTCATTTCTAGGGCATGCTTGAACACACACAGAAAATTCTGGCATAATTCAGATTATCTTCCTTTAAAAAAATTCGAATACTTTCAGAGGGGTCCGGATCCTATTTTTAAAAAAAATTAGAATCTATATCTATGCTGAATCTCTCCAGAAACAATTGATATGAAATACTACTGTTAATTTATATAACTCTGCCTATTTCTATTTCAGTGGGCGCATTTTCCAAACATTCATTTCGGGCTAGGCTCCAATGAGAGCAGCAAGAAGCTGGACGAGGCCATCGCGGCGCCTATCCCCCAGAAAGTTCAAGGTCTCTACTGAGACATATATTCCTATATGCATGATACTTTCATATTGTAAGTAACTGAAGGAAAACCTAAGTTAATTTCTGAATCAGTTTGTGAGTGAGTACATACATCATGAGCGAGTGATATGCATGAAGTGAGAAAGAGGCATATGGGAAGTGTATGCAGCTAGCTAGCTATCGTACATGCATGTAGAAGACGTCTGAATAAATCCCTTGATCGCCAGTTTGTTGTTTAATTGCTTGAAAATAATCACCTTGCTTGAACATGTCTGTATTAGGATTTGGTTTGGCTAGTGCAGGTCACTTCATCCATCCTCAATTACCTTACATAGAAGATGCAATACATTTTTACCCAGTTGATTGCATTTGGTTATATACACAATCCGTATAAAAATGCAACATCATGCCGTGCAAAAAGCTAAGCCTCCTATAAAGTGGACGCTTACATGTAGCACCCATGTCCTTAATGGAAAACATGAAACTGACGGATGTTATATGTTGGATCAACAAGGATTTTATATCCAAAAGTCACACAAGGTAAAGTGGCAATTTAATATTAATGGCACAACGTTATGGTCTACTCTCTCGTTAAGTTACCGCCTTTCACAGGGATAATCCCTAGCTCGTACATGCCTCTTTGTATGATTACTGAGCCTCGAGGGGCGAGTACATATACAGGTACAAACATGGAGGGCAAGTAGTACAGGAAGATGATTTATCTCTAGAACATTCTAGTCAATATCTAGTTACAAATATCCATTGTGTACACGTATTTCGTATTATAACAGTATGCCTCTAGTGTCACAGGAACACATGGTTTGCGCTACAGAGTTTGATGTACTATTTCTGTTCCATAATTCTTGTCGTGGAACTAAAACCATGACAAGAATTATGGAACGGAGGGAATAATAATACCATTTATAACACCTCATGTAAAATACCCACTGCTTTATTGTTCATAAACCATGAACGTACTCTGTACATATTCAATTTGATCAACGAAATATGAGTTACATATCACAACGGTTGATTTTTGACTTATAACTCATATTTCTTGGTTAAATTGATGATATAGATTTTTTTAAAAGGGCAAAAGATAGACCCCATTCATTAAATGCGGAGAAGTTTAACAAGGTTTACAAACCCGAAGGCCAAAATAAAAGCTTTTTATCATGGCATAAAATTACGCAAGTGATTTGCTCCGGCCAATGCCCAATTCCGTGCCTCGTTACAGAATTTGGATATGATGATGTGAGGAGGTGTAGAAATGTTGTGGAAGACTCTTGAATTGCGCTTGGTCCAAAGCTCCCAAGTAACAAGCCCGATGAGGGAAAGCAACACCTTTCGCCGCCCATGCCAATCGTGTACCATGTCAATCCACCAAGTTTAGACATCGTTGAAGCCATGCCAAGATTTTGGGTGAAGACGGGGAGATCGAGCCAATTCCTCACCATAGTCCATATTCAGAGGGAGAAACGACATTGAAAGAGCAATGTTGCTACCATCTCTGGAGTTCTCTTGCACATGGGCAAGGCCCACAATTAGGTCATCCATGCTTGGTGAGTTCATCCGCCATCCAAACTCGATTCTGAATGATGATCCACGTGAAGAACTTAAACTTATGAGGACCCTAATTTTTCTAAACAGTAACCTCGAAACTAGTTGATGTGGCCTTGATGAATTGGGCACGATAAGCAGAGGCCCTGGAGTAATGCCCGGAGGACGGCCCGCGAAATGGTGTTGGCTTTGCTGGCTTGGAATTGAACTTGGGACATGGCCCGTCAAAGTTTGATGAATGCAAGTATGTGTTGTAACGTGAGCCCGTTGTCCAAGTTGATGTGGTAGACCCAAGCATTGTTATGGAGAGCATCCATAATGCATCGATTCTTCTTTTTTGAAATGTCGAAGATAGAGGGACCCATGTCCTTACTCCGATGGCATGCTGCGCCCAAGCGGTTTGGCAAAGCTCGTTATGTTGTCGGCCCCAATAGTGATAGCAGTGAAAGTGTAGAATAGGTCCATGTCCTTGGTATTGCACGGGCTACTGGTGTCCACCCAAGTACTGCCCGGGGTGGTACATTCAACCCATGGCCAATGGAACCCTGGAACACGCACATTTTCTCAAGGTTTACGACCCTGAGCCCTCCAAGAATGGTGAGGCAGCAAACGGTCTCCCAATTTATTTTGAATCCGCCCAAAGGAAAGCCCTTCTTATCCTCTAAATGTTGCAAGTCCTCATTCGGGATATCAATTGAGCTTAGGTGATAGATCATGATTGAGGTGAGGACTGCCTTGACCAAAGGTAGTGCGGCCTGCCTCAGTGAAATGTTTGCCCGTCCAAGGAAGTAATTTCTTTTTTGGAACTTTATCCTCAATGTGTTGGAAGTGAATCCCTCGCAACCTCCCGACGATCTAAAAATGTGTTTGTGTCTTATAAACCGGAAGGGAGGGTATGTCAACAGCCCAGCTACCTATGGGAGGACATGCATTTTTAGCCCAAATATTCTTCATGTAAAATAGTTAAGCCCAAGTAGTATATTCTTTGTATTCAGGCGACAAGAAACATGTATGCAAGTTTGTGTAACATATGGTAAATAGACCAGGTGGTACCAAAACCACGTGCGTCGCAGTAGCATATATTCTGGCCTTCTGGGGAAAAATACTTCATATTTTGTACTCCCTCTGTAAACTAATATAAGAGCGTTTAGACAACTAAAATAGTAATTTAAACGCTTTTATATTAGTTTACAGAGGGAGTACACTCCAACTTCCTTTATGTAGAACTAAGAGGGTGCATGCATTATTGGTCTAGCTAGGCCCGATATAGCTGCCGCCCTAGAACTTGGGGGAAAAAATCTGTTGTACTCCAAGAGATAGGTACATATAATCCAAGTTCATGATATATAAAGTTAAGTGTGTTTGGACTCAAAAGAATAATACTCCCTCTGTCCCATAATATAAGAATGTTTTTAACACTACGCTAATGTCAAAAATGTTTTTATATTATGGGACGGATGGAGTATCTGCTAGCTCGAAGTCCGTCTCTTCAAAAATCTGTCGTGATCTGGCGGGCCATATAATCCATTTGATTCACCCATAAAAGTTCACCTGCGCTGCACGCGCACGCTGGCCGTGGCCGGTCACTGTGGACTGTTGCAATGTCATCGTCGTCGGCCGGCTACGAGTGCCCCGCGCGCGCGTGTATGATCGCATGCATGCGTTCTGCCATGGCATGCATGCATGGCCCCCACACAAGCGCGCGCCCCCGTGCACAGAGGAGTAACCGTGCTAGAGAAATTAATCGACGGAATCTCTATCTAGCTCAGTGCTCAGCTCCCGCTCAGTGATCGCTGAGCGCCTGACCGCGTGTGTTATTTCGCTTTTAATGATTGTTTGTATTGTTTCCACTACTCATGGACAGAGGTAGATCATGGAGTGGCTGATATCTGCAGTGAAATTGAATGTGCTTGAGCCAGTGAAACTGAATGTGCAGTGAAATTGAATGTGCTTGAGTACCACCGTTGTTGGCTTGTTGCAAGATCGAGAAGGGGAGAAATGCATGCTAAAGGAGCGAGAAGGCATACGTTTCCTTCCAGGAGAAAGGAAAGATGAGACACCATGCACCACCCAATCCATCCATCTCGATCTTTCAGGTGGTCGCCGTCTGATTTGCTCCGAGCTTCCCATGCATGCATCCACGTAGGATCTACTAGTAGTACTCTCGATCTATCTTGCGTGTTACCGTACGAGTTTTAGGATGTCCCGCCAACATACATACTCCTCCTGCGTATGTACAGCAGGCTACGTATAGGTACACCTCAATCCGCATGTGCACTGTCACCTAGTACGTGCTACCGATCGATTGATCCAGCTGGGTCGATGTCAAATAAAGCTTCCGACACCTGCGTCGACGCGTGGTCAGACCTAGCCTCACCTCAGCTGAGATGATAGACGACAGGACGAGGGACAAGCCGATGCAAGTACGCGTACGTACTGGGATTTTATACAGTCTGGTTTTACGGACATGAATGGAACCCCGCCGGCGACTGGGTCGGCTCCAATAATGGAGTGAAGCTGAGATGGTCCCAGGTTCATATTGGTCTTTTCTTTTGAGGATCCCCTGGTTCATATTGGTGCGGCAGCAAAAGGATTGCTCCACCAACTCCTCCTCAATCATTCGCTTCCATTATACCTGAATGCCCTTCCAGTTGAGATTTTCCTTACTCCGTCCGCAACGGTTTTATGAGTCCACTTTGTATTTTCAACCGGGACCTCCTACATGACACGCATTGCGTCCTACAGATGCGCGCAAGAGGCTCCTCCGACTGCGCCTGCCCAGCACCGAGTGCTATGAAAACGGGACCTCCGCTTGTGAACGCTCATGCCTAGCCAGTAGATGAGCTTCGGTGTTTAAATATACCGCACGGGATATAAGAATTATCATCAATGATAGATCTAACTATATTTTATAATTTCGTACACGGTTAGTTTCGTGAAAAGTGTTTAGTTTTAAAACGTCAACATTTTAAAATTTGTAAAAACCTTATACAAACTCGCACATTCTTTGGAAACGGAAATATATTTTGAATCTAAACTTTTCTTGATTTTTTTTAAAAATTCAAAACATAAATTATTTTGAAACCTAAGACTATTTTTGACAAATCTGGAAATTTTGAATTTCTTTTTGAAACTTTATGAGTTAAAACTTTTGTAAATCGGAACATTTTTTGAAACTCAGAATAAATTTGAAAAAGCTGAAACATTTTTTCAAACATACGAACATTTTTTATGAAATCACGAACATTTTCAAAAAACTTGCAAAAAATTTCAACAGTAAAGCTAAAAAGAAAAGAAAAATAAAATTATAAGAAAACCAGAAAATCCAATAAACAAGGCAACAAGAAAAAAAAAAGGTCCAGGAACATTCAAGACAGTTCCCAAAACCGGTAAAAAGCCAGGCTGGAACTTTCCAGAACCATCCCAAAACCGCGAAAGTGTTTTAACAATTTCATGGGGGTATATTTTTCAGTTTTCCCTTTTTTATCATATAATTTTTTAAATTCTAATGATTTTTTTTAAAAAAATACACCAACTTCTGTTAATGCATAAGCATTTTTTGTAAATACAAGAATACACACTTTTTTAAATACCTAAAGTTTTCTAGAAATGAGAATATTTAGAAAAAAAACTTGAGCACATTTCTAAATATGATGAACATTTGTTAAATGAGCAATATTTTACAAAAGTGTGAAAACTTAATATCAGAAATAATTTTAACAATTTCATGGGTGTTCCTAAAAGTGTGTGATTACTTTTTAAAATATATGAATAAATTCTAAACAAAATTAAATACAAAAATGTTTTATATTCAATGTACATAAAATGTAGTTCATTAATGGCTGCACTATCAGGCCACAACGTTGATGGCATATTGCCGAAAAAGGTTTTTCACCCCGATTTATATATATAAGCAAACAACCACCACTAGGTCCACAACATAACAGCCAGTCCAAGTCTAAAACCAACTCACACCACAACACAAGAAAAAACAAACAAAGGAGAAATCAAGCTGGGGACAACAGCAAAACAATTAATCCACGACCCGATAACCTGATAACGGAATTTCCTGATGGCCACCGTCCAAATGCTATGCTCTGTAATAGGCTGACCCATGTACTATGATGCTTCCACCCGGTTTTAGGTTTGGGGATGCATTTGACAGTTTTTATTTTTAAACTTTCTGTGTATTTTGATGGCTCTATTCTATATTTGTTCCTTTTCCTTTTTGTGTTTTTTTAGTTTTTATCACTTAAAGTTCATGTATAGTTTAAAAAAATTGTTCAATTCTTTAGAATTCATGAACTATTTTGCAAATTCGTGCACTTATTAAAAATTCACGAAAAAAATCACGTGAATATTTTGAAATTCAAAAATAAATTATGTACATTTTTTATTACAGGCCATTTAATGGAGTTCATGATTTTTTTATAACTTCCGAACAATTTTATTATATTAGACTATTAGTGAACATTTTTTAAATGCAACATTGTTTTTAAATATTGGATTTTATAAAAAACGATAAAAATAAGAAAGCAACCAGAAAACAAAAGTCTGAAAAACCTACGGAAAAAAATGAAAATATGCATCACATGAAGCGTTAAATGGGCGCGGCCCAGTGTGCATTTTAGCAATAATTTAGCACTTGAAGCGCTGAATTAGAGTCATCCCTAATAGCAACATAACACTCGACGTAAATCATTCAGACTACCCATAGTGGGGATTAACTT